AAACCTCTGCCTTCTTGGTTTCCCCTTTCTGTTGCATTCCTCTTTCCTTTTGCTTTCTAGCATTCTGTTGTTTTTGCATCTTCTTTTTCTCTTTCATAAATATTTTTTTATTTCTTAAGTCCTTCCTTTTCGCTCCTCTCTTTCTCCTTTCTTTCTTAGTCACACCATTTAGTTCATTAAAAATGGCTTCTTCTTCCTCGGCTTCTTCCAGCTGTTGTTTAATTTGCTGACACATGACAAGCGCCATATCTAGGAAACAAAGGGCTTCTCCCATAACATCTTTGCCTTCTTTCCTTATTTTTAAATATTGTTTTTTTTAGTTCATCAAGAGATAGAGCCATTTTAAACTGTTTCTTCTTCTTTTTCTGTATCCTCTTCTTATTATTAAGCCAATCAGTTATTTCCAAACTTAAAACAGTTCCCAAAAGTCCCAAAATCCCGCAATCATCAAACAGTCCAGGCAGAGTACAAACTTCTTCTTTTTACAATTTCTCTTCTAGGGGTGAAGTCAAATTAGGGAAAGAAAAAACGTCCCGTCTGTGCTTTAAATCTTTTTTAGAATTAATTTCTATTCTCTTTATCTTCAAGGCATCTCCTCCAGCAAAGTCTGAGAGTAAATTTTTTTTTTCCAAGCCTCTCCCTTCCCACTTATAACAAAGGAGTTTAGGTTTTACCTTCTATCAAAAGGCAGGTTTCCCTTGTCCATTTGTTAATTCCATAAGGGAGGGAGAGTAACTTTCCCTTTTCATCACTTTTCTTCGCCGCTGAAAACATCAATCGGGAACATTGTAGCGTCCAGAAAAAAGCCAATACTTTCCCAGGTGTTGAATATGTCCTTAAGATCCCAGTTCGACCAAGAAAAAACTTTCGTTTTAAAACTCCTTCTTCTTCCTCCTGCACATTCTTTATCCAGTTGCCGGCTTCTTTATGGCGGCCATTAAGACCGCCGCTCCACCGTCTTGAGAGAAGGGGGTTATTGCCGGCTGGGGAGGGGGTTTGCGATACCCCTCAACCCCTGTCCGGATCCCCCCTTTCTTCAGCTGCCCCAACAGGGCAGCCTTAGCCTCCAAATCCGTCAGGATCGGAGGCACCAAGGCGGCTAGCACAGCAGGGATCGCAGAGAAAAGCGAGTCCCTGCTGTCACCGAAGCTGACAAACCGGAAGTTTTTCACAGTAGACGTAATGTATCTTGAAGTCAGGGAAGTGGGGGGGAAAGAACTGGCTGGGGAATTCTGGGAGTTGAAGTCCACATGTCTTAAAGTGGTCACATTTGAAGACCCCTGATATATAGAATCTAATGGATCACAGGAAAATGACATCCTTTGGCACTAGATGGTTTTTATTAACTTTATAGCAGGGTCTCCAACCTTGGCCACTTTGAAGACCCAGAATTCCCCAGCAGGGAAAGGTTTCCCAGAATTCAGCATGGGTAGGAGAGGAACAAAGGTGGCTAGACTATCTTTATCACAATTTTGGATAATTTTCTTAATAGAGGGTGGGTATGTGGTAAACATAATATATCTTAATAGTCAGCAAAGTGGGCGGGGGGGGAGAGCCGGCTGGGGAATTCTGGGAGTTGAAGTCCACAAGTCTTAAAGCCGCCATGTTTGAAGACCCTTGGTCTAAAAGACAGGAGAATTGTGGAAATTAAGCCGAATATAGGTTATCCTCGAATTGCAATCCTTCATTTAGTGACAAAAAGTGACTTATAACCAGTCCTCGCACTTACAACTATTACAATTGTATGACCAAAATTTGGGTGATTGGCAACCAGAATGTATTTACAGCATATGCAGAACCCCGGGGTGACATGAGGGAGCCAGATTTACTTAACGACCACACAATTCACTTAACAACTTCAGGGATTTGCTTAACAACCGTGCCCAAAAACGGTCGTAAAATCAGG